AAATCAACTTATACAAAACTCCGAAGAAACTATAATATTCAAATTACTAATGGCTTATTTCCAAATTCGTCTGAATTTCTAGTGAAAAGTTGTAACCAATGAGGTTGAGACATGTAAGAAGTGAAATTTACCTCACCAACTGTATCGGATTATCTTCGTGATCTATCACAAATTATGTTGAAACTAGATTTGTACTATTCGACATTAAACTCGGTGGTTCTAATCATTAAGTTCAATCGTAGGAGGGGGCGTAGATATGAACTTTTAAAATATACCATACTAGGAAGAAACAGTTATCCAATTTTTTTCTTTGGTTTTCACTTGCACTCCAACTGAGATCAATCTATGTTAAATACAACCTACAAATCAAACTAATCTTCACGAAACCCCTTTAACTAAACTAATGAATAATGGTTAATTTAGTTCAATAGCTCAATGATGTAAGTAATTAGCTTCAATTTAACGCAATAGTGTAAATACTAATTTTACTTAATGTTTCTTCAAACCATTTAGTTGATGATTTTATTGTGTCTATTCTTGTCTTCTTTGACAGAAAACCTAGAAAATGTATACACCCAAAAAATGTAACAGAATATTGAATTTGGTTGTTTCTATTTTTACAGATGAATTGATAGAAAAATATTGAAAAAGAGTACAATGAAAGAGAAAATCAACTTAATATTGTTTTATAATAAATGTTATAGGTCACTTCATATTGAAGTGTTCACTGATGATGTTATCCAGAAAGGCAATGATGGCTTCACAATTTCACTATGCAGCTCAGAGCATAAAACACCTTCAAGTATAAAAGTATATATTGATGATTATTGCTAAGCTTTAATAAAGATTTCTAGTAATCCGTAAATGTCACTAATTATCCGAATATTTTTCCCCTAGACCATATTCAGCTTCAAGTCCATATGTAATTTACCCTAACAGAAGCAGTAAATATACAATGGAATTAGTTGGTAATTGCTTTATTTCGCAAATTGATTAATGCTCGAAATGTAGAGCATTAGATTTCGTTCTAGTGTTGTAACTAGACTATCATTAACCCAAGACTTAAACTTTGCCATGAACTAGGTATTTTGTTTCTTTCAAATCTAATAGTTATCACCTTGTCTAACCAAGAAGATTTTCATTAGAGCTTTAATAACTGACATGTATAAATGGGAAAAGAAATAAATACATTGACATTTATTAATTCCCATATATTGCAAAAAAGATATGTGTTAAATTCTGTGCTCTTTAGTGATTTGCTTATAGATAAGTTCCCAAGACTGTAGTGGGAAATCATGATAGGAAATCATGGATCGTGGTTTTTAAAACCATTACAGTATTTTTACGTAAACACTATTTATTACGAGTACTGTTGCAAGTAAATTATTCCAGTTAGAATTACTATGTTAGTCTTATTAAAAAAATAATAATTTAACCTTATTTTAAAACTGATGCAACTAACTAACTAACAACTGTCACATTAGAAGCTTGACGATATCACGCTACTCATTTCTTCTTCGTCTTCTTCCTCCTCTTCTTCTGAGTGCATTTATTCAAAGTTAGTTGTAGATGACTTGATTCAACTTATTTGTGATTTGATATACTCGACCATACAGAGTGCATATAAGTATATCAAGGTAACATTTAATTGTAAAATGACCAATAAATAGTTTCATTGATCTATAATAATCCAATAAATTATAGGCTGATATTGAATTACATTTTTTTTAATTTCCTTTTTTTCAAGAATTAGGACAAATGTATTTTTCTCTAGGGAGAGGGAGTAAAATATTCAATCAAAATTACTATTTAATGTGTGTATGCACTTGTATGACTCATATGCCTTTAAATAATCACTTCTGAAGATTTGGTTTATTTCTATGTTCATAGCTAAACTAAAAAAAAGGAAGTATTCTTTTTGTAGGCTTGATTAGAATTGGTTAAGTAACGATATGAGTTTTGAATGTATATAGTTCTAAATGAGCTTACAAGACTTTCGCTAATGCCAGTTTTTTTACCTTGTAGATTGTTTATCTATAATAACGAGCTCGATTATTTCAATTCCATGCCGAGTACCTAACAACCATACAGAAACTGACGTCATACAACTTTTTTCTTATGGTTATCAATTTTGAAGATAATTTACATCATCGATTAGTTCCAATTAAACAGCAGTTGAATAGTGAGGAATACTGAGTGAATAATTGCAAATGTGAAGTTATTAAAGCTTGTCTCTGGGAGTAAAGATATATAGTCTGAATAAGGTGCAATGAGTGAAAGGTACTAGTCTGGCGTTCTCGACATTCTAACTGATCGTTGCAGAAATTGATTAGAATATTAGATGGACTGTTGATCTTTTGATCATATACAGTAGAAAGTGTTAATTGAATCATAGTTAGTGGGACATATATAGAAATATCGTAATGCAGTTATTTTCAACAGTGTTCACCCGTGACCATGTAAGGGATCGAAACAAAGATTTTTAGGAAGACCACGGTGTACGTTACTTTTAGATCACTGAGTAGATATCAAATGATTTAAATGTGAAAATTCTATGTTTTGTCTCCTATATTCAGTTTATTTTGTAAAGTGTTACTTTGTCCCAAAATTTTGAGGTAATCACTGTTCCGTCATTTTCCATAGTTTTTCTGAATGTTGTCATTTCTTAACAAAATCCATCTTAAAATTGTTAGAAGAGTCTGTGCAGCTGGTTCCCCATCGCGAATGTAAACAAAGCAATGACAATAATCTCGACATAATACGGTAACTTCATTGTACTTTGTACTTTCTCATAAGCTATGTATACATGGAAAAAGCAGGCACATCGGAAAGACATGAAGATGAGTATCTAGGGTTTTTAGTCAGCACATTCCATAGAAATTTTGTCACAGAGAGGGAAGTCTTCAAAGTTCGATCGTGTCGTACCTGATAAACATTAAACGCAGGATAGATACAATGTGTTTAACCAAAGTAATCAACACCAATCACGAGGATAAAACCTGACCTCAGCATTTAACAGAGTCTGTGGTTAGATTTCGAATCCATTAGTATCAAAAGCGACTAGTACATAAGCTCAGGTGTTTTTAAGTAGCGGACAGGAGGCCCTGGATCTAGGTTTTATGTTAGCTGTTATTCGTTAGAAAAGTGTGTCTACAACGTTATGGGGAATAATGTGTTTCGTGTGATTTGAACATGCATCACCTAGCTGAGATGTTACAACTGGACCTACTGCAGAACTGAGATATTTACAACTGATTGATTACTGAGTAGTGATCGATATGAGAACTAAGGTGATTTGACCATTTTTCATTAGTGGACTACTCAACTTTCCGAAATGTATTTTTTACTCAACGATCCCAAAGCCAATAAAATCAGAAGTCGAGAAGGTGAATACATGATTGGATTAAGGATCTATGTTATGTTGTGTGAGGAATCTAAACTGACTATTTGTCCTAAGTGATGCCCAGGACTATGTATTCAAAAGTGTTCTAGTCTGGATGTCCGACAGAGTGCTTTTAGTGAGGGATATGTCCATTAGAATTAATAAGATCTGCATCAATGTCAAAGACTTGCAAAACTATTTATTTTGGACATTTACTTACCACTAAATAATGGCTGTACATTTCAATGACTGAGTATGTGAATGTGTATATGTATAAATATTTTAAAGGAAATTAAAGTTGTTATTTATATGTGTGTATCTTTGAGGAGATCATACCAGAATGAAACAACTTCTCTTTGATTACTTCTTGATTTTTAATAGTTATCTAACTATAAGGTCAATTCACGATGTAAATTATAAAATTCAATTATCTTTATAATTCTCTTACATTGTAATTTTTAGATCTATGAAAATATCTAAATAAGATTTCATTACTAAAAACCACTTGATAGTTAACAAAAGAATTAATTAAGGATAAAAATTTAGGTCATAAAGTAATCAGTCATCTTTAAATTCTCATCCATCGTAATTGGTTTATCTTTCTCATTCTAACCATTGGATTTAATTCTATTGATGAGGTACCCTGAAAAGGATTCACAAAAAATAGAACAATCGATTATGATGTGTATAACATTAGCCTACCTACATCACTTAACGGATGAAACAATGCAATCAGTGTAAATATAAGAAAGATATATATTGATAACTTATCCAAATAGTTCAATGTTCCCAAATGTTATTTTAATGAACTTTTGTTCTCTGAGCTAGATGGTTTGGTAGTGGAGCTCTCATCGTTCTTCTGTATGATATCATCAGCACAAACCTCAGGTAGAAATCTTAGACAATTATTGATCTCATTTCAACTGATTACAATTATTCTGACCAATTGTAACTTGTATTGAAATGAAGCAGTGGTAATTATTATTTCACAAAACTAATATTCAAAAGTGAATAAGAATAAATACAATATCCCAATATTGTGATTCAGTAGCTCAGTGAATAATGTATTGGTGGTTTTAAATCGATTAATACTAAGTTCAACAATATTTCAGTGACATTATCAACACACAGTTACAGTGACATCTAGCTGACGATTGTTTCAAGTAGAACTAAACAGTTGTCCTGGTTTCAATGTTAACTACTATTCAAACGTGTAAACATTTTATTGCTTGAATAAATCTAAAATTTACAATGATATCATTTATGTTTGACTTGTTGTCTTAGTTACCGTAACATTGAATTTATTTGTTTCAATGAGTTAACAGAAAAAAATGACAATTCTTTTTTATTCTTATTAGAAAAAAAACTTTTTATCATCGTACCTGTGAGTCATAGAATGTGGATATGAAAGAGCCGTTAGAGAGCAATAAATGAATCTTATATCTGTCCGCATTATGAATGACTCATTTGTTTGATTGAGAAAATAGGATGCTGAAGGGTGGATTATAACTTTGAAATTATTTAAATCGATAAAATTGATGTAACATCAACTTCGGACTGAGTCATAATTTTGGGAGTAGTATTTCATTAATTTTTTTTATATGGTCACATTCTGTTGATGAGAGTATTTATTCATTTAAAGACAACAATAACAACAACAACAACAACAACAACAACTACTACTACTACTACTACTACTACTACTACTACTACTACTACTACTACTACTACTACTACTACTACTACTACTACTACTACTACTACTACTACTACTACTACTACTACTACTACTACTACTACTACTACTACTACTACTACTACTACTACTACTACTACTACTACTACTACTACTACTACTACTACTACTACTACTACTACTACTACTACTACTACTACTACTACTACTACTACTACTACTACTACTACTACTACTACTACTACTACTACTACTACTACTACTACTACTACTACTACTACTACTACTACTACTACTACTACTACTACTACTACTACTACTACTACTACTACTACTACTACTACTACTACTACTACTACTACTACTACTACTACTACTACTACTACTACTACTACTACTACTACTACTACTACTACTACTACTACTACTACTACTACTACTACTACTACTACTACTACTACTACTACTACTACTACTACTACTACTACTACTACTACTACTACTACTACTACTACTACTACTACTACTACTACTACTACTACTACTACTACTACTACTACTACTACTACTACTACTACTACTACTACTACTACTACTACTACTACTACTACTACTACTACTACTACTACTACTACTACTACTACTACTACTACTACTACTACTACTACTACTACTACTACTACTACTACTACTACTACTACTACTACTACTACTACTACTACTACTACTACTACTACTACTACTACTACTACTACTACTACTACTACTACTACTACTACTACTACTACTACTACTACTACTACTACTACTACTACTACTACTACTACTACTACTACTACTACTACTACTACTACTACTACTACTACTACTACTACTACTACTACTACTACTACTACTACTACTACTACTACTACTACTACTACTACTACTACTACTACTACTACTACTACTACTACTACTACTACTACTACTACTACTACTACTACTACTACTACTACTACTACTACTACTACTACTACTACTACTACTACTACTACTACTACTACTACTACTACTACTACTACTACTACTACTACTACTACTACTACTACTACTACTACTACTACTACTACTACTACTACTACTACTACTACTACTACTACTACTACTACTACTACTACTACTACTACTACTACTACTACTACTACTACTACTACTACTACTACTACTACTACTACTACTACTACTACTACTACTACTACTACTACTACTACTACTACTACTACTACTACTACTACTACTACTACTACTACTACTACTACTACTACTACTACTACTACTACTACTACTACTACTACTACTACTACTACTACTACTACTACTACTACTACTACTACTACTACTACTACTACTACTACTACTACTACTACTACTACTACTACTACTACTACTACTACTACTACTACTACTACTACTACTACTACTACTACTACTACTACTACTACTACTACTACTACTACTACTACTACTACTACTACTACTACTACTACTACTACTACTACTACTACTACTACTACTACTACTACTACTACTACTACTACTACTACTACTACTACTACTACTACTACTACTACTACTACTACTACTACTACTACTACTACTACTACATATATATTTCGACCAAGTTAGACGAACGTTTGTTATATTTTTAAACGCTGATATTTTCAGGTATAATGTACAGATCAGTATAAAATAAACATTTAGAAGAATATTTTTAAAAATCTTACAGAATTAATTTCGTTGACGACCATTCATTCAATCTTTCACATTATCAATTGCATTATATTCTAAAGGTTTTAGTTGTAATCTAAGAATTCACTTTATAGAATGATGATAGAATTTAGATGATTGTTTTATTTGATAATTTTAAAAAAATCAGTAAAAATAAGAAGATTGATTTCAATAGTTGAGATCATGAGTCAATTGAAGCTAGATCACTACCGAAAACCTGGAAGCATTGGACGGCCGTACTTTTCTGTTGTGGGGCTCTTCAGCAGTGCACATTCACGATCCCGCCTCGCAAGACTCGAACCCAGGACCTACAAATCTCGCGCGCGAGCGCTTAACCACTGAGCCGGCGTCCAACGGTGTTATAAATGTTTTTACATACGTAACAAAAAGGAATCTGACTGATAGACATTAATGTACAACTCAGTACAAAGAATGAAATTGTAACATATAGCTATCTTCAAGTTTTTCCTAGAGCGACGTCGAGGTAAGGATATTACCAGTTGACCTATGAGAACACATGAATTTAATTGAGATATATTAGAGAAAATATATAAAGATAGTTCACAAGTTATTCTTAATCGAAACAGACCACCATGTTGTGTAACATCTCCGCCCTTATGGTTCAGTTTCCAATATCTTTACAAACTTTTTATCTTCGCAAATTTCATAAATAGAAAGAAATTTTTATAGGATTTCCATATGTGACGCAAAGCTAGTTTTATGGACATTGAATTCACTAGTTAATTGATAATAATTCGTTAGTAACAGCATCTTCGAAAGAAATCCTAATGGTTTACGTCATTCTAAAGTTTGTGTTGTATAAAAATACAATTGAAAATACCCAGTTCTCAGTTCTTTATTTTTCACACTCACTCAGTATCTAACTCAATGTCAATCTAGATAGAAACCAATCAAAAACTCAATATCATACACATATACAACAAGCAAAAATGTCGATGAAAACCAGAATTTTGATTGAGATTATGAATTGATAAATTTTGGACCACTATTGAAAGCTCTAAAGCACTCAACGGCTGTCTTGTCCTTATATGGGACTTCTGAGCAGTGCACATCCATGATCTCGCACGTGATACTCGAACGCAGGACCTAATGTCTCACGCGCTAACGCTTATCATCTAAACCACTGAACTGAAATCCAACGGTGTTAATGCTTAACTTTAATCAATCCATGATCTTACACAACCCTTCATGAATCGCCTGAGATTGATAACTGTCTCATACCCGACACAAATTGAACGTCACTGGGAAGGAGTCTTATACAAGGACGAAACGGCCGTACAATGCCTTCAGGATTTTAATGGTGATGTAGCTTAGATTGACTTGTGGTTTCAACTGTGAGAATACTTGAATCTCCACAAATTCCCATACTGATATAAATAAAATCAGTAGGCAATAAATAATGAAGTTTATCATGGTAATTGCACACATACTTCTCTGCTATCTGTTCATGTTATCTTCTCTTCAGTTGTAGATGGTTATAGGTATCCGCAACGATGTTAGAATCATCCTTTACTACAATGTTCGCTTAGAAACATGATAAATCAGTTTTCTGATCAATAAACTACTATATTCAAACTTCTACTTTACATCTCTATGACAAAAATATTCTTTCAGAAAAATTTATAAACCATATTTTTACAAAGAATTTACTTTTGTATCTTGATCACTTTACTTGTTACATTCCTTTATATCATAATAGTAAAACAATAAACCTTCTATAATTATTTTTGAGTAGAATTTTTTAATATTATTTATAGGTATTTTCTGATTGTTGATGATACGCAAAAAGAAAAATAACATAAGAGTTGTTATGTTGAACTATGCTTATTTTATTGATTTATTGTAAACTTGATTAATTACATAATTCAAGGTTATACTTAAACTTGTATTCTAGACAACATGTAATATTTGACCGATAAACTAAAGAATTTCATGTGATATTACAGATAGTTTACATAACTATAAGTTACTATTTAATTGAATACTATCAAAAACACGTAATAATAATAATAATAATATCAGCTGATTTAACTATTTGCATTCATCTATAATATCACATGGTCATTAACTTAACACGTTTTGATTGACTGATATATTCTATATAAGCTAACTAATGATGGAATATTCAATTGTCGGATAACATTATATATTTTAATATTGTTCATTTATATCTAATGTATACATAAAGTAATTTAAAATTTCTGCATTGAATCTTTAAATGATTATCTTCATCTTCATCCCCTAGAGAAATTAGTACTAATCTGCTGACTGAAATATTACTTACTTACACCTGTTACTCCCAATGGAGCACAGGTTGCCGACCAGCACTCTCCAACCCACTCTGTCCTCGGCCTTCCTTTCTAATTTTATCCAATTGTTGTTCATAATTCTCATGTCTGTCTTCGTTTCTCGACATAAAACGTTCTTTGGTTTTCCTCTCCTCCTTTAACATTGAGGGTTCCAAGTGGGGGCGTGCCTTGTGATACAGTTGAGTGATTTCCTCAATGTGTGTCCTATCCATTTCCAGCTCTTCTTCCTCCACTGGAATATGGTTTGTTCTCTCCGACGGTAGGTTGTTGCTAATAGTGTCCGGCCATCGTATCCGAAGTATTTTGCGTCGACAACTGTTAATAAACATATGTATCTTCTGGATGACGGCTTTCGTAGTTCTCGAAGTTTCCATCCCATTCAGTAGAACTGTTTTGACATTTGTGTTGAAAATTTTGACGGCTGAAATATTCGTACTGTTTAATTTAAATCACTGAGATTTTTTATAAATATAATCTTGTATTGAATAGTTTCTAGATGCTTGGTGTTCAGACTTTGTGAAACTGTTCATTTGAATTTTGGCAAAATGTCATAACAGTTAAAGTAATACCGTTATGTTTCTTCATCAGTAATAATATTAAAAGCTAAGAAAAACTAATCGAAACAATAAACCACTATGTTACCGGATTTAATGAAACTGTGAAACACTGTGTTATGTCCCGATGCGAATTATGAATGGTAACCTGAGAACTATTTACGGATTAATACGATACATATATTTTTTGGTATATAATTGTTAAGTAGCTAAACTATACATATCCATCTTCCTCTTATCGTAAGCTTCATTTTGACCTGTAGACTATTATTATACTACTTACCGTTCTTCAGTTATGCCCAATCTATTAATTACAGTCTCCTACATTTCGTATATAGACCCAGTGTGTTTGAAATACATGATTCACATCTCAGAGGTTGAGATTGATGTTCTGAACACTAACAAGCAGGGCTAGGCAAGGAGAAGGATCGATACGGATTTTAGACTGCTCGTACGAGTTTATGAGTTATTGGTCCGGTCGATAAGTCACAGTTCTCTAATTGACGGTATCATTAAGTTATGTATTAATAAGGAACAAGACCACAAGTTATAACACATTGTAAATCTACACATTCACTATGAAGAAAGGATAACTTGTCTAGTTTTCTACATCATATGATTTAATGAGCTTTGAGTGTCATAAACGGTGTAACATATGAAACTAAGATGTATCAAACTGTTTTATTACACCATATTTATTGGCTGACAAAGAAAAAAATTGATCAGATGAAAATCTAAGAAACTGATATTATGGTATTAATCAAAAAGAAAACAAACTGAAAACTTTTCAAATTCACTATTGAGAACTTGTAATAAAATGTGTGAAATTATATGAGAAGTAAATATTTATGGTTTAATAAAGAAATAATATATATGTATCTACGAGAATACAACCTCCTCTGATCTGGGTCACCTAAGGTTATCAATCATAGCTTACCGACCTACACAACTCTATTTTACAATTAATAAAGCCATGGATTAGTGCCGTATCTTAATTTGACCAAGATTAGCCTTTTAAACCTTCTCTAACACTGGACATACGAAACTCATGTCTTGACACCTCAGTCAATGTAAACTTACTGGTTTATAGAATGATTTACTATCCCTAACTAATGATCATGATTTAACCCCTTACATAGTTTACTTAATGGTTGTATCATGAAAGAGTGTTATTTTCAAATCATTTACAAATGAATACTGGTAACCTATTTGTCTTCTTAACCTTCAAAGGTTATGTCTCATAAGTTTAAAATTCTTCAAAGCGAATTACTGTCTACTATAATCATTAATAAACATTAATAAACAGACTAACTTGTCATTTGCATTACAAATCGTGGAATTTAAATGAATCCAAATAAGGTTTTCATACCTTTTTCAAGAAGATAGTAAAGTCTTTATAAAGAAACTCGAGATTATTATCAATTTTGATTTGAAACATACACCTTCGGATTATTGATCTATTAATTTAACATTCGATCATGTAATGTACTTTGACATTAAAAATTGAATTTATCAGTTAACTGGTAAAAGAATAAATCAATATTTGAAAGCTTTGTATTTTTTTCAATTCGTCACCTCTATGGATATCATTTATAAATCCATTTCACATATCAAATATGAAATGTTTCAATTAATACTTACTTACGCCTGTTACCCCTCGTCAAGCAGCATAGGTCGCTCACATGCATTCTCCATCCAACTCTGTCCTTGATATTAACTTCCGTTCTTCCCAGTTGCTAATCATCCTTTTCATGTCTGCTTCCGGTTTCCGACCAAATGTATTTTTCGGCATTCCTCTTTTCCCCTTAATTCAGGATTCCATGTTAGCTCTTGCCTTGTGATGCAGTTTAATAATTTCCGAAATGTGTGTCCTCTCCACTTCCAACTCCTTTTCCTGATTCACTCCTCAGATGGAGGCTGGTTTGTCTTCTCCTACAGTACACGGTTGCTGATGATATCTGACCAACGTAAATTGAATATCTAGTGTAGACAACTGATTATTAATACTTGTACC